AATTTCGGAATTTATTAAGTGCAGGCCTTGGTGTTAAGTGTCGGGGACATGACGTTTTAAGGTCAGCCGAACTCCTTGCATTTGCCTCATGCAGCACCTATGACATCGACGAAGCAAATGTCTGAGCTTTTAGTTATTACTTCTGTGTACGGTAAATGCCCTTGTCATGTGAAGTGTGGGTGTAAAGCGGAAGCGGACGCACACAGTCATTTCGAGGCATATGTACAATCAGTAGGCACGTCTGCTTTTGTCAAGGATATATAAAATAATATTCAACGAACCTTTAGTGCCTGACTAGAAAACGAGGGAAAACAGGACAGGAAACTAACAATTTGGTACTTGGGAAGCCTATGTTTCCAATTTTCAAATTAACGTGTCATAATTAAAAATCCTGCATGCAATAATACCAAAATGGCGCTGATATAAGAGTTTTTCAAGATTTTAGGCCGTCTAACTTTCTTTAGCGTAAGGTGATTCCATACTAACAGTACAGGTACTAGCCAAAAGCCCGTACACGCGTGTTTCACTGATATTCTGCCGCAGTTAATTTCTTAGGAAATTTAAAAGCTACAATGTCTAAATTTCTACTTTATAAACATGCATCGCGAATAAAGGTTAGAATCCGAAGCTTTTACCGCCTTCTAAAATTTTAAATCGGTAAGGCTTCTTCCAACAGTCTCCTCCGTCAGTCTTTTATTTGAGGTTATTTACATTGATAAAATGCGTCCAGTATGATATGAGTTGCTGCGATAAAGTGCACTGCTGCTGGAATTCTGTTCGACCCCACCTTCGCCGCAGTCAACAAATTTTATCCCAGTCATGGGGCCATATGAATACCATCTACTTACTGGTGCAAAGAGGGCTGTCGTAAACAGTCTCCCATGTATTACCGACCACCACTTCGCCTTCGTCTTTTCACGGTACAGGAGGCCTATCTGGTTTGCTGAATTTATTTGAACTAATTCGAATTCCATGTGTTTCAGGACTGACGAGTGTCACAGTAACGCGCCCGCTGGGTAAGAAGTGGTTGGCTGTGGGTGTGGTCGATCTAAGCGAGTGTACCGACGCTGTCGTGGATCTGAAAATATGACTAACGGTTCATGAGCCACAGCGAGGGCCAGTAGTTGAGTCATCTAAGGAGTTGATTTCCGTTCACTAGAGTGGATAACACCTGAAGAACAGGAAAATTTAGATTTGCAACGACTTTACGGAACAGTAGTGAACCAGGCAGCTGACTTTGTTATCATATCATCCGACCAAATCCTGTGTGAACGACATTTTGCGCGTAAAGCTCCTTAGGACCCTGTATTTAAAAGGACTCGTAGGTAGCGTGCTTCCCCTACTTTAGTTATTACACCCGACTAGTTTAACGAAATGGGGTATCGTAATAAAATCATAGGTTCAAACTGCTGAATATTCATGCCTGAAATCGAAAATATTTAGTCCGGCTTCTTCGGATCTTCCTGCCTTATTCAACGTCAAATTTACTGTCATTACCTATAATAATGCTGCAGTCCTGTTAACTATGATTAAATATATCAACTAGGCATTTACTATTGCCTTGGTGAAATTGCCCTGAAAACCAGCGCTAAGCTCTAGTCATTTGTATGTGACATGCCAGTGGAAATGGGTTTATATGCCAATGCCGAGACTGCCAAAATGGTACTTACAATTTGCTCTTTGTTTCAGGAAATATTGGTTGAAATTTTATACATTGAAAAACTATCTGTATGAGTTTGCATTACATACTGCCATGGAACACGGTCTCTAAACAATTTATACACAGTGGCATGATCTTCTTTGGGAAGGTTCATAAGGTTTTCAAAGTACATCTTGTGTCTTCTCTCCGAAACAAATCAATATGACTATTTACGTCTCTATTAAGAGGTTTCCCTGTGAACAGATATTTTATTGAGAAATGAGTATCTAAACCATTATTGGAGAGCGCTGA